TATCTATCTATCTATCTATCTATCTATCTATCTATCTATCTATCTATTTATCTCTCTCTCTCTCTCTCTCTCTCTCTCCCTACCTATCTACTCTCTCTCTCTCTATCATTTATCATATCTCTCCCTCTCCCTCTCTCTCAGCTGTATCTTCTCCCTAATCCCAAACCAGAGATAATCCACTTGCCATGTTCAAACTTCTTTTCCATGTTCATAAGTTTCCTCCATAGCAGCTCCTTGAATTTCACAGCACAATTGTTGAAAATTGGCAGGGCTACTGGGTGCCCCTGTGAAGCAGGAAATATGAAGAGTGTATCATGCACCTTATAATTTATATGATGTGCTATAATTTAAAAATGTATCAGGAAGAACAGAGATGACATCCCTTCCCAAAAGAAGGAAAATCCACTCATTGATATTATTGTGATATCCCCTGTGGCTTTAAATTTTTCTTTTGTTCAGTTGTGTCGGAGATGGCCCGGAGCAATCCTTCTGGTTTCCCCAGCAAGGTTTTTCAGAAATGGTTTGTCTTCCTTCCTAACTAGGGCTGAGAGAGAGTGACTGGCCCAGCTGCCTTCAGGCCTAAGGGGGACTAGAATTCATGGTCACCCAGTTTCTAACCCAATGACTTGAACCCTTACACCAAACTGGCTCCCCTTTACCTTCAAAAATCTCCTGCAATTCTGAAAGCAAGCATAGCATTTTCTTTAAAGAACTTTGCCTTCATCTTCCTCTCCTTTTGCTGTCGCTTTTGTATCAATCAACTTTTAGATTGCATTCTTCTCCTTCTCAAGATCTTGTCCTCCTCCCTCTTTCAGTGCAATTTTGGCCAGATCTGGGACCTCCCCAACACAACTCTCTCTTTCTTTTTACTTACAAAATGTTTGCTAGACCAATACTTGAATACAGCTCATCAGTCTGGAACCCACATTACGTATCTGATATTAATACAGTTGAGAAAGTCCAGAAATATTTCACAAGAAGAATTCTCCACTCCTCTACTCGTTGCAGAATACCTTATGCCACCAGACTTTAAATTCTAGACCTAGACAACCTAGAACTACGCTGCCTTTGGTCCAATCTAAGTATAGTACATAAAATTATATATTGCAATGTCCTACCTGTCAATGAATACTTCAGCTTCAACCATAACAATACAAGAGCACACAATAGATACAAACTCAAGGTTAACCGCACCAAACTTGACTGCAGAAAATACGACTTCAGCAACAGAGTGGTCAATGTCTGGAATACTCTACCTGACTCTGTGGTTTCTTCCCCAAACCCCAAAAACTTTAACTTTAGACTGTCTACTATTGACCTCACCCCTTTCCTAAGAGGTCTGTAGGGGACATGCATAAGCGCACCAACATGCCTACCGTCCCTGTCCTATTCTTTCTTTTCTTTTTTTTCTTATATGTATCCATGTATTCATAACTATGTTTTTACTTATACCTATTATCTTGTAAGCAATTGACAAATAAATAAATACATAAAATAAATACGAGTAGATAAATAGATACCCTTTGGGGGTATCTGCCTACTGTCCCTGTCCTAATGTTCCCTTTTATTTTTACCCACTTCGTGTATTAATAATCATGTTTATACTTGTATTTGTGATCTAATACATGCTTGACAAAATAAATAAATCAAATAATAAAATAAAATAGCCATTCAGGACCTGAAGTTGACTTGAAAAGCGCCAGTTCTTGGGAGCATTTCAGGGCGCTCTCGTTCTTCTTACTCTGAAAGTTTGCCAGAATGAAAGTCTTCTCCAGGAGCACAGCATCTCTTTCTTCCCTCACTCAGGTTCAGCTGCAAGATCGAAACGAAAGGCTCTATGGCAAGGTGGGAGAACTGCAGGACAGGCTGGGACAATTGGCTATCTCCAAGGCGGACCTGTCCTCCAGGCTGATTCGCAGTGAAGAGGAGAAGCTCAAGGTAACAGGGGGACAAATTTGCTGCTCTGTTGACATCAGCTCTGCAAGGGTGGCCAATTTTCTGCAGAAATACTAAAAAATGTCCCTCGTGCAGAAGGTCACAATAGAAACACAATCCTGCAGTATTGGACACACTTCAGCATGCCAACTAGCCATTCAATATGGCATGTTCTCTTGCAAGATGTCCCGTTGCTCTTTCTCAATCCACGTTTCTTTATTTTCTTTATCTTCCCCCAATGTCCAATTAACCTTTAATTATTTTCATTGGTTAAATGCCTCTATTGTTTGCCTAGGCATTATACAGTTCAGTTTATAATAATTTCAGCAACCCTACATCATAATTAAAGGAAAATATCATTCATCACAGCATAAAACTAACACGACACAGAATAAAATAAGAAACTGAGCCAAACTCACAGTTATGAGATGCAATAGTTAAATGTAAATGCTCAAACTTTGCTGAACTACCTGAATAACCACCTACTTCTGGTTTTAAGGGGGCGTGTAGGGGATAAATTTGACTGGTGCAGTGGCCTAAAGGTGGAGCTCTTGCCTCACAATCACGACTGTGAGTTCGATCCTAGGTAGAGGCAGATATTTTTTTCTCTCTGGGCACACTGAGAATATATCTGCTGAACAAAACTCTGCATTGGTGACAAGAAAGGCATCCGGCCAGTAAACACTCTGCTTCGTTCAGTTGCCCAGACTCCACCCCGCAAGGGATTATGGGGTCATTAAAAGGAAAGGTAGGGGATGAATTCTCGCTGCTTTTTATTCCCCGGGGGTACAAAGTAAGCTTGATGTATCTGTTTCCATAGATTTCCAAAGACTTTGTCGATTTCCAAATCGAAACTAATAAAAAGAGAGAACAACATGAAGCTGAGAACTTTGAACTGAAGAATCTGGTATGTCATCTTTCATAGGTGATTTAATTATTGCACCTTTATAAACTGATACTTGATTCCCCCCCCCCCTCATATTTTGTGTCACAGCTGACCTCTGTGTCCACTCAACACATTTCTCCATCCATGATCCAGTTCAGTGGTGGGATTCAAATTTTGTTACTACCAGTTCTGTGGGCGTGGCTTGGGTTGGTGGGCGTGGCTTGGTGGGCATGGCAGGGGAAGGATACTGTAAAATCCGCATTCCCTCACCACCCCGCTAACCTGCTTTTCAGCTCCGTTCTCCTGTGCAGGGCAACCAAAGGAGACCCAGCCGATCAGCTGGGACTCGATGGGAGGCAGAGAATAGATGGAGATGGGGCCAGTCAGAGGTGGGATTTGCCGGTTCTCCGAACTACTCAAAATTTCCACTACCGGTTCTCCAGAACTGGACTCAGAACCGGCTGACTACCACCTCTGATCCAGTTGCATAATGGGAAGTGTGGATTTAAGGTGTGTTCTGCTTTCCTATTCCCATTCTTGATCCATGCTTATTTCTGACTTGCATTTCTCTCTCTCTGGATTTACTCCCCCAGATCTTGGACTTGGAGAATCGTATTCTGGAGATTGAGCTCCGTGATGAGAGGACCACTGGGGAACGGGATGCTTTGCAGGAACGCCTGCACACCTTGGAGAATGACCACAAGGAGTTGGGGAACGAGTACCTTGCTTTGAAGAGCAACTACCTTGTATTGGACAAGGAGCACGAACAGGAGGTATGAGCTGCTCATGAATAATCCTTCACCTGCTTCAGACACTAGGCAACTATCAGGTTCCAAAAACCAAGAAAGAGATGTAATGTTTCTTCCAAGCAGGTTATTGTTCTTCACCTATAGACAGAATCTTGCCAAACTGAAGCAAGCCAGCACCTACATAAAGGATATACTCTGAGAGTTACGAGTATCAGGAAGGAGCTTGTCTTCACCCTTTCATACAAACTGTCAGAACTGAGTTGTATGTTACTCCTCTGGAATCAACTCCTTTCTTCCTGGGAATCCAGATGGAGAAGGTAGGAAGGAAGGAAGGAAGGAAGGAAGGAAGGAAGGAAGGAAGGAAGGAAGGAAGGAAGGAAGGAAGGAAGGAAGGAGTGGTGGGATTCAAAAAATTTTTTACTATTGGTTCTGTGGGTGTGGCTTGGTGGGCGTGGCAGAGGAAGGATACTGTAAAACCTCCAATCAGGATTTGCCGGTTCTCCGAACTACTCAAAATTTCTGCTACCAGTTTTCCAGAACTGGTCAGAACCTGCTGAATACCACCTCCGGAAGGAAGGGAGGGAGGAAGGAGAAGAGGGAGGAGGGAGGGGGAAGGGAGGGTTGGGAAGGGAAGATCAAGCTCCCTAAATTAGTATTTCTTCCAATTAGATTTCTTTATTGTTCCTCACCCATAGACAGAATCTTGCCAAATTGAAGCAGACTATACCCCACATCAATCACGTACTCTGGAAACAATTAGGGAGGAGCTGTCTTCAACCTCTTTCTCTCACACAAATTATCTGAACTGAGTTGTCTCTTACTCCTGTAGAATTCACACCCTTCCTCCTGGGAATCTGGCTCAGTCCATTCCATCGGAGCAACTATCAAACTGGGGAGGAAGAAATCGAGGGGTCAGTGGTGGAAGTGTTGTAATTAGGATCTGAGGCTCGGGGACAAACCGAGCTCGATGTCCAAAGCTGAAGATTTAGATTCAAAGACCATTTGATTGTAAATTGTCTTCATATAAATGCTGGAACGATCATGCTTTTTTTTTTTTTTAATGCCATAAGAGCGAGTGGTTCTGGAATCGGCAGCATTTCCAGTGGGCATTAAAAACAGGGAACAACATCTTATGGAATAATCAATCCTTGCAAGATTTCAGTAGACTCATCCCTAAGATCCTACATGACCTCACACGAGAACAGTGAACTCTCCAAGATCCCGCAATCTTGTGAAGTTGCAACTATTTGGGTTGGGTGGATGAGCGGGTGGGATCACTGCATTCATCCACTCTCTCATATATTAGGTCTCCAAGAACGAAGAACTGAGCAGGGAGTTACTTAACCTGGTTAAGTCCAAGCAGGAGCATCCACACCACCTCCAAACCAAGAGCACGGAGTCCCAGTCTGAAGCAGAAAATCCGCCTGCTGAAGTGAAGCGGGTGCGAACCTTGGTCCATCGCCTCTCTGCCCACAAAGTCAAGGTATCTGCAGTCTTTCTGCCTCTCTTTGCTGTGAACCAAGTGTGATATTTATTGACTTGATCTGCATAGCTGCCCACCTCAACAGTTAAAAATATAAAACAATTAAAACAATTCAGGTAATCCTCGACTATCCCTTAGGTAGCCCAATCCCAAGCCAATAATTTTAGAATAGAACTACAGTAGCTTGATACCCGTGCTTCGCTACGAAACTATGTGGTTGGGCTTAGTTTTGGGGGGAGGAAAATTAAGGGGGAGGGAATTCTGCCTCTTCCTACCAGCATCCATCGGTATTCATCTGGCTAGCGTCCTGTCAGTGTGTGAGAGAGTTGAGGACTGTTTGGAAACTGGAAGAGTATTTGCTGTGTTAGCAAGAAGGAGACAGCAAGGAGCCTGGGCGTGGCTTAGCTCAACTGTTCTGGACTAAAGCTGCTTGATGCTGTGAAACTAAAACTGAAACTCCTCTGCTTGTGTTTTGCATTTGGAACAGATTTCTTTTCAGGTGGGGAGGTGGAGCAGAACTCCTTAGCATCAGAGCATGTTAATAATAATAATATAGGAAATACTCTAAATGCTCTGATGGTCATTTCGAAAAATCCTTTCTTGGTGAGCACCTAGAAGCCAAGAGGAACATATGTGCCAAATGTTAAGTTTGTAGGCTTTACAGTTCTGGAGACTTTGTGATGTGTAAGTGGTATTTTGCTTTTATATATATAGATAGAGCTGGAAGGGACCTTGGAGGTCTTCAAGTCCAGCCCCCTGCTCAAGCAGGAGAACCTATACTATTTCAAATAATTGATTGTCTAGTAACTCTAGTTTCTTCTTGAAAACATCCAGTGATGGAGTGCCCATGATTTCTGGAGGCAAAGCTAAGTCCACTGATTAATTGTCCGCACTGTTATGAAGTTTCTCCTTAGTTCTAGGTTGCTTCTCTCCTTGGTTAGTTTCCATCCATTTCTTCTTGTCCTGCCTTCTGGTGCTTTGGAGAATAATTTGACCCCCTCTTCTTTGTGGCTATCCCACAAATACTGGAATACTGCTATTATGTCACCCACTAATTCTTCTTATACTTCACTACATTAATTTTGTAATAATTAAGTTTTACTGTGTTTCTCCTATTTTGTTTCGGAATTTGTTTTCCAAACGGATGAGTGACAGTAATAATATTCTTCAATTGGATTGTAGGGAGGTCCTGTGTTGATTCCACGTATTAACTGCTCCAATGCATGCTTCATTTCTTTTAGCCCGAAGATGTGGTGCTGGCTTCAGAACAGGAACGTCAAAAATTGGAGAAAAGTGTGAGTCGAAGGCCCACTTCATTCCCCAAATTATGGAGTTTATAATCTAAATTAATCAGATTGAAAATATTCAGGATGAAGAGGGATGAAGAGGGATAGCTCTGTCTGAATGATTGTTTTCCCATTCAACAGTTACTTGGAAACCAAGGTCACATCACTGAAGAGATGGAAAAAATGAGAGAAATGTACAATTCCCAGCAACAGAAATTGGAGGAGAGAATGTGAGTAAGATCTCTTCATACCCAAGTCCTACTAAACCAACTGTGTGATTTACAAATTTTTATGGGGTTCTAACATTTTAGCTGTCCAATCGTTTTCATTAAGAAACAGGGGAAACTGCTGTCCAAAGTAGAAACCTGGAACACTTACACTGTGTCATACATTTCTCCTTCACCCTTTTACAGATGCTGGACAACAGCATTTAAAAGCATTTTAAGAAATTCAAGAATTGGAAAGTTCTTATGTATCAAGTCAAACCTGTAGCTAAAGGAATTTTCTTTGTTCTGGGGTTATTTTAGCATATCTAAGGCCTTCTCTTTCTGTCCCAAAGTTTGGCTTGGTCTCTGAAGAAAAGCAGGAAAATATATGATTCACCCAACTCAAGGAGGAGGAGGAGGTGGTGGTGATAGAGGAGGAGGAGGATCAAAAGGCCATTAAAAAGTCAGCATTACAAGGGAAACCAAGCAAGAGGACTTGAATTCAGGACCACGGAGAGCAGCCCTAGAGGTAGAAGTGAGAGAGGTTATTCCACCTTTCTCCTGGAGTTATGGATTGAGGTTGGACAACTGATCTTCCTGGAAGTCCATCTCTCAAATATTGCAGCTACTATGCTTTTCCTGCCAAACTGTCCTGGATGTCAAAGGTTGGAGATATGATCAGTCGGGTAAAGAAAGCTCCTAAGTTGGCTGCACGATTTGGAGATCAATTCCTCTGACTGCAGGCTCCCAATGTGGGCTTCAAAGCAGAGAAGATTGGTTTTGAGTCATGATCGTTGGACATCTCTATTCCAACGACTTGCAAAATGAAGGAACATGTTCACATTTCCATGTGAACGGCAGCCATCTACGTAATTTCTGCCCGTCCATCCCTTGATCTGGTTAAAAAGAGCTGTGGTGGTGCAGTAGTTCGAATGCAATATTTCAGGCTAAATCACTGCTCAGTCACTCCAGGTGTTCAATTATGAGCGGCTCAAGGTTGACTCATCCTTCCATCATAAAATGAGGACCCAGATTCTCAGGGACAATAGGCTGACCCTGTAAACCCCTTAGAGAGGGCCATAAAGCACTGTGGTGGTATATAAGTCTAAGTGCTATTGCTATTACTAAAACATACTGCATGAGACAGAAGAAGGAACCAGACTGAACCAGATGTGGACCTCCTTAACCAAGATCATATGAGGGTAGCACATGTCTATAGAGTCATAGACATGTCCCAGAGGTGCTTTTTCAAAAGGCAACTGGATTTTGTTTTTCCTTGATGACATTTCGCTTCATGCCCAAGAAGCTTCTTCAGTTCTGACTGAAAGGTGGAGGATGGAAGGAGAAAGGAGAAAGCTTCTTGGATGAGAAGTGAAATGTCTTCAAGGAAAAACAAAGAAAGTCCAGTTGCCTTTTGAAAAGTGCACCTCTGGGACAAGAGTTTAGCACCTGTGTACTCAGGACTTCATATGACCCTGAGCTCATAGTTTGGCACTACCTGGAGCTTCCTAGACACCAAACCTTTGGAGGAATGGACTACATCACTGTTTTGGTTTAAGAATAAAATAAGCTTGACACAAGAAAATATATTCCTGCCCCAAATAACAGAAAGTGCCAGAAAAGGAAGGCCTCATGAATTTTCCATAATTGTTCTATCCCCGTATCTACCTAAAAGCATTAAACGGAGCTCTTGGTCCATGAAGAGCAGCTCACCAACAATAAAGGACAAAGTGCAATATTTATATTTTTTTTGGTGTCTCCAGGATCACGATGGGCAAGGAACTACAGGAGGCCAAGAAAGCAATCCGGCACACGCAGCATAAACTGGCAGAAGAGTCAGCGGTGAGAATCAATCGGTCCTGCCGTGTATGCAAAGGGATGGGTAATGGTATGTGGGAATGGCCTTGGGAGACAGGAGGAAGAGTCAGAAACTGGAAAACCAGCATGTGTGAAAGGTATCTCATCCCAGAGAAGAAGGCAGAATGTGGAGGATGTTTCAGGAGAGAAGTTTTCCCGAGAGGAAAAGCGAAGGAAGCGAGGGGTACTTTCAGACTTGCAAGATTCTGTTAATGGAACCGTACTATAAAGATAGCACTAGTACTCAAGGTTGTGTTTTTTCTCTGGATTGCCTCAAAGGAGGAAGGAAAGAGAAATTGGCTTCATCACCCATTACTAGAATTAGAGGTTCGCCAATGGCTTTCAACTGGGCCTGGTTAGTCTAGTGAAGAGAAGAACCAGAGGAGACAGGATAGCAGTCTTCCAATATTTGAGGGGCTGCACCAGAGAGGAAGGGGGCCAAGCTATTTTCCAAAGCACCCAAAGGCCAGACAAGGAATAATGGGTGGAAACTGAACAAGGAGAGATTCAGCCTGGAAATAAGAATTTTTCTGACAGTGAGAAAAATGGAACAGAAGTTGCCCTCGGAAGTTGTGGGAGCTTCATCCCTGGAGGCTTTCAAGAAGAGATTGGAGTGCCACTTGTCAGAAATGGTGTAGGGTCTCCTGCTTGGGCAGGGGGGTGGACTAGATGACCTACAAGGTCCCTTCCATCTCTGTTAATCTGTAAAAAAAAAAAAAACTTATAATAGCTCCAGAGCAGGGGTCTCCAAAACTGGCAATTTGAAGACTTGTGGACTTCAACTCCCATGCTGGCTGTGGAATTCTGTGAGCGGAAGTCCACAAGTCTTCAAGTTGCCAAGTTTGCAGATTTCCCTTGCTCTAGAGCAAACGAATGGACACAATTCTATGCAGGAGCCTTTCTTCACATTGTCTGTTGTTAGAGCGCTCAGATTGATAGCTGTCAAGCTTTTGTTGCTCTTTAAAAAAATATGTCAGACCTTGAAGAAAAAACAAACCCATCAATCGGTTTTAGCTGAGACAAGCTGCTAAAAATATATATGTTGCAGTTGGTCCCCCTAGCTCTTTTCTCAAGACACTCCATTCCATTCCTTCTTCCAAGCTCTCTTTTATTGTTTTATTATTTTTCATCCCTCCTGTCAACTCATAAAAGATTTTGTATATACACGTTTTATAGTTGTCAACAGAAAGAAGGGAGTTTCAAAGAGCAGGCGGCAGTGTGGAATTGAAAGTACATTCCATTCATATTGTCTTCAGAGGCTGATTCGATGACTGAAGCTTCTGCCAGACAAAAATTTAATTGGGGAGCATGATTGATGACTCTTGGCTATGGACGTGTTTTGTTGGATGATACACCCAGAGGGGTGGGGGGAAAATCAGGATCAAGGATGACAGTGAATTACACTATCTCAGAGTCAGCTGTGCCCAGGTTAGTGCCGGACGTAGAATGTTACCTTCAAATAAATCCTTTTTAGTTTTGGGAGTGTGGCTCGAGGCTCATGATTTAATTGGAGTAACTGCTGGAATCCTGGCACCTCCTTTATTACTTTATCCATCTAACAAAGAATATCCCAGCACTCCAGATTCAAAGGTGTAAGAGTGTTTGGGAATGTGGAGGTACCACCAGTCTCCATTTCCTTAAAGCAAGTTCCAATTTTGGTCGTAAGGCAAGGACTACCTGTATATTTTTCTCTCCTGGGGCTACAGATATTGCTGTCCTCCCAAGGCCACCTTCAGGAGGTTGAGTCTGAGAATTCCAGGCTACAGTTACAACTCAAAGAGTTGAATGAGGAATATCGTTCGCACCTTGTTCAGTACGTCACAGATCTGGCGGTAAGCATTTCTCATTGGCGGGCGGTTCCCGATGCCTCTCTTAACTTGCTTCACCCCATTAAAGCAATCCAAATCAAGAGCAACCCAAACATTGCCAGAGTCAAAAGAAAACCAGCCCACATTTGGGTGCCATGGAATAAGTAGGTAACTTACCCCATGTTGCACCTGTTGATCACATTCTGAAAGCCAAACCACCAAGGCACAAATTAGACTGCAGGGAGGGTGGTGAGAATTGGAAATCAGTTTGATGTGGTAGTTAAGGTGCTGGCTTAGAAACCAGGAGATGGTGAGTTCTAGTCCCATCTTAAGCATGAAAGCTGGCTGGGTGACTTCAAGCCAATATTCAGCGACTGGGAGTTCTAGTCCTGCCTTAAGGCATGAAAGTTAAACTGGGTGCCTTTGGGTCAATCACCAGGAGACTGGGAGTTCTAGTCCCATTTTAGGCATGAAAGCCAGCTGAGTGACCTTGGACCAATCACCAGGAGATGGTGAGATCTAGTCCTGCCTTAGCCATGAAAGCCAAACTGGGTACCTTTGGGCTAATCTCCAGGAGATGGTGAGTTCTACTCCTGCCTTAGCCATGAAAGTCAGCTGGGCAACCTTGGACCAATCGCTAGGAGATGGTGAGTTCTAGTCTTACGTTAGGACTGAAAACTAGCTGGTGACTTTGAGCTAGTCCAACCCACCTCACAGGGTTGTTATGGGGAAAATAGGAGGAAAAGGTATTAAATATATTGTTTGCCTTGAGCCACTTACAAAATAATAAATGTGGGATAAAAATATAATCAACAAACAAATGAAAAAAAACCCGAACAGAGTGAGCTGATGGGTCAAGAAACAGTTAATGCGAGCGTGCCCCATTCTCTAATCTCACCCAAATGTATTTGTATTTCAAGGAATACATCGATAGTAAATCATCACCAGCTAAAAAGGAGCCCAGTCAAATGAAGCATTTTGTGGACAGCATGTTGAAAGACATCCGGGCTTCCTATAAATCTCGGGAGGAACAGCTGGCTAGAGCTGCCCGCGGTTACAAGAAGCGCATGCAAAATTTGGTCAAGAAGCACGAGGGTCTACTCATTGCCTACAGGTAAGAGAAGGGGCCAAGTTGGAGGACAGCACACCTGAGACCCACGACTTTTGGATGTTGCGCCTTCTAAAACACTGACTTTGTAGAGTCCTTGATGCTCTCTGAGCTAAGTTGTTTGCTGGCAGACATTTTATTACCCAACTAGGCATCACCATCAGTGCGAGTACTGGGCTTGCTCCCTATTTATAGACAATATCTTGCCTTGCTGGGCACTGTACATACTTCTGGAGGGAGTTTATTCCATAGAATGGGGGCTGTTTCAGGAAGGTCCTGCTATCTCAGGCATCTCCCCATGGACCTCATCAGGGAAAGGAACTTTCGGCATCACCCCCTGATATCAATGATGGGAGCTGGGTAGGCAAATTAAATTCTGGAACAGAGTGGTAGGGACCTTGTAGGTCATCTAGTCCAACCCCCTGCCCAAGCAGGAGACCCTACGCCATTTCTGACAGATGGCAGTCCAGTCTCTTCTTGAAAGCCTGCAGTGATGAAGTTCCCACAACTTCCAAAGGCAACTTCTGTTCCATTGGTTGATTGTTCTCACTGTCAGAAAATTCCTCGTTTCCAGGTTGAATCTCTCCTTGATTAGTTTCCATCCATTGTTCCTTGTCTGGCCTTTGGGTGCTTTGGAAAATAGCTTGACCCCTTCCTCCTCTCTGTGGCATCCCCTCAAATGTTGGAAGACTGCTATCCTGTCTCCCCTGGTCCTTCTCTTCCCTAGACTAGCCATGCCCAGTTCCTGCAACTGTTCATCGTTCTAGCAAGGTACTGGAAGATGCTTTAGTAACCTTTCTGGTACGCTCTTAAGATCCTTGCAGCTGAGACTGTAGGCCAATGCTCAATAACATGTTTGCTTGATGTTAGGATGCAACGTGAGCAAATCAGGTTGCTGGGCTCCCATGATCTGGATCCTGGCCCACCAGAGCATCATTTCTCCATCACGGATGCTGAATTGCTGACCAATACCGCACAAGAGTTAAACCGGTTGCGGGAAGACAAAGCCAATCTGGAGGGACAACTCTATGAGCTGCAGATGAAGGTGAGTCCACAATGTATTTTTCCCTGGAAGGGGATCTTAGGAGGTGTGGCTGGGAAGGTCAAGGCGTGAACTGACCTGTCCCTCAACCTTATGATTCTTGACGAATGTATCTTTTCTTTTATGTACACTGAGAGCTTATGCACCAAGACAAATTCCTTGTGTGTCTAATCACACTTGGTCAATAAAGAATTCTCTTCTCTTCTCTTCTCTTCTCTTCTCTTCTCTTCTCTTCTCTT